CCCTAACCCCCAGACCCGGTGCTGTGGGGCTCAGGCCACTGTGTGTCACCTGGATTCCCCCTGCTGCCGGTTAATGGTTCACTCGCCTCCAACCCTCACTGATTCAGGCCATCCTGCTCACTTCAGTCAGACAGAGTTTTCCAGAATGCTCATCTGCTCTTGCACTGTTCTCTAAAACCTTCAAGGACTCCCTATTGCTAAGGCAATAAAGTGCAAGCTCTTAGGCATGTGCCCTGGCTAGGGACAGAGGCACACTCACAGGGTGTGAGGGAGAGCGCGTGAAAGTGCAGGCTGGTCCAGAGAAATCCTGGGAGATGGAGAAGGACCAGCTGCCACACTGAAATCCATCACCTCCTCCAGACAGGAAGGGCAGGGGGTGGGCTGTGACGGGGTAGGAGAGGGCTGGAGCTAGCGAGGGGGCTACACTAACCTAACTCTTCCCTTTCTCTGATCTCCAGCGGCCTGAGCACAACTAAGAGACCTTGGAAGCTGGCCACAGGGTCAGTCTCACAGGTGTAGGGCAGGTAGAGACAGGGCACCCCACCTGAGGCCTGGGGGGCACACATCACCTGGATTCCTGCCCGCCCGTAACTGTCCGCCCTGCTCCAGGCGGTTCACCTTCCTCTCCTTCACGCCACTCCCCTGAGTACAGCCCTCCACACTGTCTACCCCGAAAGCTCTGTAGTGAGACCCCAAGACCTGTCATGAGCTGATGCTGCTCACTCCTTGCTCACCTTAGGTTCACAAATGAAAGAGTTTGGCTCATCACAAACCCCTTAAAGAACTGTCCTCATGGGTCCTGCTGCAGAGAGGGCCCAGCTGCCAGGGCATCCGGAGACCTTTACTACCTGTCCCTGGGGGAGCTGCGCAGCCGTCAGCGCTGCCTTCTGTCACCAGCAGAGGGCGCCATGACACCGAGAGACATTGAGTGAGTGTGAGGGACAGCCTCGGGAGCCCACACCTGGGGCTGCAGAGCTGAGCTCCGTGGGTTCCCACGGGCGGACCGCTTTCATAACCAGGGAATCGTGCTTTTGAAACTTCTTTTTTACTACAGTGCACGCTTTGAAATACATTTACCTTGCAGTTCAGTGCACATGTACATGTATATTTATTACCCACTTCTAATATAACCTGCCTAAATCTAATGACCAAAGGTATTTCATAGTGAAGTAAATGCAAAAAATAGTTTGACAAAATCAAATTTAGCTGATTCATTAAAGTAAACTTTGGGGCTTAGTACCTTCAGCAACTTAGTTTTTAATAGTTTGTTTTTATATGACTGACACATTTATTTTGTAACATACTCAGATCTTTATTGACTACATGAAAATATTTAGCAGTAAATGCATAAAATGCATACTAGTACATTTTTTTCACCACATGCTTAATTTTTGTGGGTTTTCAGTGCAACTTACTTGGAAATGTTCTTTAAAATGCAGATGACAAAAATTATGAAAATCTGACTGTGTGAAGCAGTAAAGGCCTACCATCTCCTTAAAGTGAAGCATTTAATTTTCTGGTATTATTTCTTTATTTTCTGAGCAGCTGAATGCAAAACTAGAAAGTCATCAGATTCGTGTCCTACTCACTGACCTCACTGGGGCTTGTGTGAGCTTTGCTGACAGGCACAAATGTAAAGTTGGTGAGCTCCTGTGTCCCAGGCTTGTCTGTCATTCTGACAGGTTCATTCGCATGGCAGGTGCTGATGAACCAGCCCTGGTGGGCCGCCGACTCCAGTGTGTTCCGGCACCTCCTCTTCTTCCTGTAGAAGGTGAAGCCCTTCGAATCTTTTGTGTCTGAGGTAGGCAGCTGGGAGATGTCCTTCTTCTGTGAGGTAGAAGGGAGTGGTCAGCAGCACAGCCTCTGCCCAGGGAAACCTCAGTGTGGGCTCTTGGAGCTCAGAGCCAAGGAGGGCCAGCAGCTCTCTAGCCGGTTTCCTGAGGGCAGGTGGAGGGGCGGGTTTCCCTGTGGCCCTGGCCCAGGGGAGAGGCATAGCGGGGAGCGAGGGGCACTGCTGGCCTGGCCTTCCCCTTTGGGGTGGCTGAGAGGACAGGACGCTGGGTGGGAATGAGCGCTCACCTTCAGCAGGAGGGTGGGCCGGCCTTTCTTCTTGTCCATCTCACAGTAAAGACACAGCTTTCCTCCTGAGACGGCCAGGAAAACGGGGTTTCCCTTGTTACCCGCTGAGCTCAGAGGAGAGGCTAAGACGTAGAAGGTCTCTGGGAAAAAAGTCACAGAAAGCAGGGTGGTCCTCAGAGCAGGCATGAGCCTTCTGCCTGTGGGGCTGCAGGCTCCTTCACTCGGGTGCAAGCCTCCTCCTCCCCCACAGACCAGAGAGACGCCCCTCAGATCTTGTGCCCTCAGACCCTCCACTCCACACTGCATTCCCAGCAGCCCCCGGGGATGCTCCACCCACTGCCTGCCCCCTGCTGGAGCTGGAGGTGTCCTACAGCCTGAGCTGAGCCCCAGCTGGAAGGACTTGGGGGACAGAAAACAAGAGAGAAAGAGAGAGAGAGAGTTGAAGTCACCTGGGCATATGTAGCTTTTGGGGGGAACTGCTATGAGGGTCCCAGAGACCAGCACCAATACATTTTGGTTCCGGTCGCGAAAGGTGAATTTCTGTGGTTCTGGGTTCTTCACTTTTGGATC